TTCTTGGAGTCCAGATAACTCTAGGTTTTGTTGTTTTAGATTTATTTTTGGTAGTTGAATACGTATGAAGTGGTATCTTAAAAATATTAAAATTTACTTAGTAGGGAGAATCTTTTTCCCCAAATGCTGATTTGATCTTAAAAACTATTTGTATCTTTTGATGGATATATATTAGTCATTGTTTGCCACATAATAGATGACCGGTAAATGTTGAATTGGTTGGATTTATATTGTAGACATTAAGCTTTATCTATTGTGATTATTGCAGATGTTGCTTACATTTACTCTACTGTTTTAATTTTAGGCTTATTATTTTTTCATTGCGTGAAAGTATATCTTATATCACCGGATCTGTTGATTAGTTGCTTATGCTTCTATTGCTCAAAAATTTATCTCTTTCTACAGATGAGATAAGTATACTATTCTGTTTTTTCCATTTTTTTTAATGCTACTTGTTCTTCATATATTTAGAATTAATCATAGTGTATGATGTGGATATGTTTTTCTCCACATTGATACTCAGTTTTTATGACAACATTTTTAAAAAATAGATTTTTCTCCACTTATAAGCACTTTTTAGATTTGATTATTGCTTTGGTATTTCTAGTCTCATGTTTTGCTTTGATTTTTTTTTACAAAAATATGCTAAACAAAAACTATTTTAACCATTTTAAGGTATACCATTCAGTGGCATTACGTACACTCACAATGTCAGCTATCACCACTATCCTCTAGTCTCTTTACTTGATATATTTCTACTTAAACCTGAAACATGATTGCTATTATTCTCAGGCAAATTGTTTAAGTCTCTGAATCCCAGTTGACCGGTCCATAGAATAAGGATGATGCTCATAGATCCCTTTTAGAATAGATCAGTTATTGTTGAATAACAATACTTGAAGCAATCATCTTAAAGCCATTAGAAGAGGGTATTTTGCTTTTTGTTTTCATTCTTCAAGGCATACACATAATTATATTTGAGGGAATCATGGCAAACATTTGCTAATTACTTATTTCTTATAAATTCTGAAGCAATCCACATATTAATAAAAATCTTAAGTGGTTATAGACCATTTTTTTAATACTTCTTAAGGCTACTGTTTATAACTATTATTGCTGAGATATATTTAATTTTGGGAGGGATACTATTGATTTTTTCCAGGGAAACTTCTGTAGCCTTTGGTGTACTCTGAAAATATATATAAGGTTCTGAAAGGGGTAGTAAATAGACTTCTAAAATACAGTGTAGATATGATCAAATTTATGAGCTACCTGTTCTATTTAAAACTGTATCAAAGCTATTCAGTTAACTCTTGAAAATCTCTATGCACACTTAGCTGCATGCAAGTTTCCCTTCTAGGGCGTATAATCAGACTGTTCTGTTTAGACACTTCTCTTGGTGTTACAATTAAAATTGATATATACTGTTTTCACTGAAAAAAAATTGACCTCTATATTGCGTTTTAAAATATTTATATACCTAATTTTAAATTTCCCTTTCTGTGTTTAAGAGCTACAATAACACATTTGAAGTAACCCAAGTTCTTGCCTGTGGCCATTTATAACTACAGGGTAATTTTAGCTTAATACTTGAATATTTTTATGGTGAACTTGGTACAAAGCAGAAATTATGTGGTTAGAATCTTATTAGGATTTTGAAATAAAATATTTGTTACTAATTATTTCCCTTCTAATTTCTAAGGATTAAAAATTATGGCTGCCATATTACAAAATGATCCTGCTTTTATTTATGAGCTTGTGAAGTCACAATATTTAAAATTATGTGACCTTTTTGAATCAAACTAAAGTTCCTATTTTTTTCATTGTCAGCATTGGCAGGTAGGGAAATATTATTTCTGTTCTCAATTGCAGATTTTCCCAGATTTTTAACGATGAAGGCATACAAATACTAACAAACTCCCAAAAAAAAGTGATAAAATAATTGTATGTAGAAACAGTTCTAAAAATTGAAACTAGAAAATTATGAAAAGACATTACTATCCAAATGCCTTATAAAGGTGCTTAAAACAAAAAATGAACTCGGAGCGTGTTTTGTAATTTCATCGGCTGTTTGGCTAAGTTGTAATTATATTAATTTACATTACATTAAGAATCCACTTTCCCCTTCTATGTCAAGCCATCATATTAAACTCTAAAACTACTACATGGAAATGAGAATACTAAGATTTGTATTGTAATTCCGTAGTTTTTGTTATTGTCAAATACTGGATCACTGTGTCTGTGTTATATAACACTTTCATCTGGTTGCTAGTAAACTCGGCTTTTGATTGTAAGCATGTGCCACTGTAGAAAATGGTGTGAGATGTTAATATTAAAAGTTTTAGCACATTGGTTAATGCTAGGAACGTGGTAAATACTTGCATTCTTTATTCAGTATGTTTCTATATTTCAGGTCTTATAAATTACAAATTTTTGGAAGGAAGGAAGAATACTGTATTGATGGAAAGTAATATCTTAGATACATGTTATGATGGAATTATGTGGAAGGTAATTTTTAGGGATGGCAACAACAAAGGATCCTTCTTTTCATAGAAGAAATAGGAGAGGTAGAAAGGAATATCTTCCAATTGTTCCCTTAAAGAAGGTTTTCTTACAATTTACCGTAGAATTTATCTCAAGGAAAAAAAATTAGTCCATTTTCATTATAAAATCACAGTAATATTAGCATATATCTAGAAAGCAAAATTTAAGATTTTAACATTTAGTTTTGTATGGCTCGAAAATTTATTTCCGCACTATTAAGAGTAATAGTTCTTGCCATTTAAAATCCATAACCCAAAAATCTATGTTCTTTAATGTTGTTCATATTTTTAAAATAAATTAGTTTTTAGTGTTTAAAAACAAAATTAAAGTACATGTTGTTTGGTATCCTTTTTAAAGCAAAACAATTTTCCTTACCTTCTTACCGAGAGGTAGGTTTTAAAACACTTCCCCTATGAGAATGAGTATCCCCTCCCTCTTGCTGAGAATCTACTAATTAGAGATTGCAGTTATTACAGTTAAGTAAAACATGGAATACTATCACTTTTAAGGTGAAAGCTGGTCACACAAAAATTCAACAAATAAGGTATTAAAGGCATTACATTTTCCTAATGATTTGGTCCTATTTTGCTCTTAAGGGATCAGTTCACAGATGTACATTATGTTCATCGAGGCAGTATTAAAATCCCATAAAGACATTTCAATTTAAAACTAAGATATAAGTTGGCGAAACATAAAAACGTTTCATCTTTCATAATTATGAGTCAGTTTCACGTCACATTGATTATGTTGTTCTGGATAGAGCAAAACAAGTGCAGGGAAGATAGCACCTGTGAGCTTTAGTTACTGTGCACCGTAATTCTGCAGCAGTAGCTACCTACGTCAGGTAGTATGAGAACTCAGCTTTTGAGGCTTTGTGCATGAGCTACACGTGAGTGCATTGAGCATCCTCTGCTTCTGACCTTTACACTTTTTTCTCTTTTGACATTCTAGATCAGGGTAGGGAGTAAAGCTGTGTCAGAGTTAGACATTTTTTTAATCTGTCTAGCTTACACGTCTTTTCTCTTCTTTTCCCATTCCGGAGTGTGGCTCTGAAAGTGTTTTGTATAGAGCAGTAGAAGTGGAATGCTGGTATATTGGCATAACTGAAGTTTTTCATTTCCCTTTTCATGTTATTTATCTATTTTCATTACTTTTGCAGTAAGATTCTATACTTGCTTTAGCTTTCTTTATATATTAAGTTGGTTACAGAGGTTGCTAGAAGTGAAAAGAGGTTTGACCTTAATTAAAAGCATAAGCAATCACATCTGTTTCAGAGCAGTGCTAGTTTCATTTTTGTTAAATTGTAATGGAGTTTTTCTTTTTTTATAATGTATTTAAGTTTTCTAATGTCTATCTGTCTCTCTTGCCAGAAGGGCATAATAAGGTGTTTTTACCAGTAAATGTGGGATTTGTTAGTTTGAAAATCAAACCAGGAAAAAAAAAGAGGGGGGGGGAGAGAAAGAAAGAAAAAACAATGGATATTCTTATAGTTTTAAAAATAAAAGAGGATATTCTATTTTTCTTTGTTAGTTTGAAAATCAGGACAAGAAGAGCAGGATCTAAGAAGATAAAGATTTTCCTTAAATGATTGACTAGACAGTATATTTAGTGGAGTTCATTATTTCAGACTAAAATTGGGTCCCAGCCCCGGCCAGGTCACAGTTGGTTGGAACGTCATCTCTTACACCAAAAAGGTGTCAGATTCAATTCTAGGTTACAGGTTCCACCCCTGTTAGGGTGCATACGGGAGGCAACTGATTGATGTTTTTCTCTCACATCCCTGTTTCTCTCTTTCTCCCTTCCTCTCTAAAATCAATAAAAACATATCCTCCGGTGAGGACTAAAAATATAAATAAAATTTACATGATTATTTTTCCTTAATTCTAAAATTCAAAGTTTTACTTATTTGCATTATTAAAGTAGATCCAGAGAATTCCATTTTCCTTTATATTAATTATGTATACAGATGGTTGTGAATGTATTTAATTTATATTTTAATTTGTTATATTTAAAGCGTTTCAGTGTGTCTGTGTTAACATTATATAAATGTTCCACATGACAGCAGGTTAGATGTTATCCTAACTTACTGATTTGCTAGGCTAGTTTTTATCATTAAAATATGTAACTCTAATCCTAAAAAAAAACTGTCCTAGTTATCAGCACATTGTAAAATGTTTAATACATTAGGCACTATAGTAACCGTGTTTTAAGTACAGCAGAAGTGGTTCCACGTGTTGGTTTTTGCAAGATATTAAAAAATCATTGCGTATACCTATCTTGACTTGGTGTAGCATGTCAGTTTTGAAAAGCCATGTGCAACTTTGAGATTTTGAGATTAGAACTCACGTGGAAAGCTTGGGGTAGCAAAATATTTTTAAAAAATTATTCTCTGATGGCCTGAATGATAATGCCTTAAGAGTACATAAAGCTTTGAATTCCTCCTCTTTTTTAAACAGACTGTGAAGACTGCTGAGAGACACTTGCGATCCAGTCACATAAGTGGAATAAAGAAATATTGGTCCTCATGGAAGAAGAACAAGATTTACCAGAGCAACCAGTAAGTATTTCCTTTAGCAATTTAAAGTTCATTGTAGAAAAGCTAATCTTAAGAGATTTTATTTTATTTTATTTTTTAAATATATTTTATTGATTTTTCCACAGAGGGGAAGGGAGAGGGACAGAGAATTAGAAACATCGATGAGAGAGAGAGAAACATCAATCAGCTGCCTCCTGCACACCCCCCATTGGGGATGTTGCCCGCAACCAAGGTACATGCCCCTGACCGGAGCCGAACCTGGGACCCTCCAGTCCGCAGGCGGACGCTCTATCCACTGAGCCAAACCGGTCAGGGCAAGAGATTTTAAATAGTATTCAAATTCAAAATAAAAATAAGGAAAAGACTTCTTAATACTTCTAAGTAAAAAATTTTATATGATCTCAAATGCATATTTTGTTAATGCTAACGAGTGTGCTTAGAAAATTCAGCATTACAAAGTTAGTATTGTATTTGGGATTGTCATTTTTAAAAAAATCAATGGATATTTCCTTTTGTAGAACACTTTTGCTTGGTCTCATCTGTGGCCCGGGGAGCTGTCAGGGAAGGGCAGAGCAATTAGACATCGTCGTAGGTGAGATGGCAACAGGATGTGCTGTAGGTCTCAATCAGTTGTGGGACAAACCAGAAAAAAAAAAAAAGAAAAGAAAAAAAAAACAATGGATATTCTTAAGTTTTTAAAATAAAAGAGAACATCTATTTACCAAACAGTATACACCACTTCTGATGGAAAATTTAGTTTTATCTTTACCTAAGTTTTCCTAACTGACCTAATTTTTTAAGAAGTTGTAGTAGTTGAAGAAAATGTAATCTGACCACTAGCTAATTCTTAAAAAGATAAGATAGAGACTAGGTTGAATTCTTAATTTCGTTTAAATATTTAATACAAATAAATAAAATCATTTTAAATGTCCACAAGTGAAACGGAATTTTTGCCTTGCCATGGCTTCTTTTTGTTTGTTTGTTTTTGTCTGTTTTTGATCCTTCTCACTTAAAAAAGGAGAGCAATAATCATTCTCTTAAGATACTTTTATGTTGAAGAATCTTTTCCTTTTGTCTTGAGTTTCTTTTTCTGAAATTAAATACTGATTCAATTTGCTATCCTGAGAGAGCCTCTTGCATTTAATATTAAAAGAGAATATAGAGTGGTACATGCTTACCTTTCTTTATGAAATCCAACATAGAAAAATTTGAATGTTGAAAGCAGGTAATAAGAGATGTTTTTCATGTACTAGATGTATTCTTTACATTACAGAAGGATAGACACCAGCTTCCATTTAATTAATAAAGTCCTTTAATATGTTTTTAATATTTTTCTTTAGGTCGAGACATGTATACTGATGATTACTTTGCTATTATATTTTTAGCCCTCTCACTTACAGTAAGCATAAAATTAGGATGTCATAAGCAATTGTTAAAAAAACCTTTTGAGCCCTAACCGGTTTGGCTCAGTGGATAGAGCGTCGGCCTGCGGACTGAAGGGTCCCAGGTTTGATTCCGGTCAAGGGCATGTACCTTGGTTGTGGGCACATCCCCAGTAGGGGGCGTGCAGGAGGCAGCTGATCGATGTTTCTCTCTCATCATCGATGTTTCTGACTCTCTGTCCCTCTCTCTTCCTCTCTGTAAAAAATCAATAAAATATATTTTTTAAAAAAAAACCCTTTTGAAACATTTGGAATGTCATTCCTTTCCCTGGTGGGACATTAATAATCAGGGAAATGGTAGGGTTAAAAATCATCCTCAGCAGTGTATCTAGGATACACTGTATTTGTATAAGAACAAATAGCTGAATTAGAGACATTAAATGTACCAACGAAAATGATGTCATTGAGTTTTTAATTTAGTAAAAGGTCTAGTCATAATTTCAAAGACTTATATAAGTTGTTGAAATAGGTATTGTTGGTTACTCCTTATCTATTTAAGGTAATGAGAATTGTGAGACTGACCTGCTAGTAGGTCATCTTTTCTACTCTGCTTTATTTCCTTGCCGTTCTTATTCCGTTTCTATAACATAATGTATTAAACTTGATAGTTATTTCAGAGGAAGGTAAGAAATTAAACCACTTTAAAAACTAATTTTCTGTTGACTATAAATGGTGATTGCCTTGGGGCATCATTTTCCTATTGATTTGTGCTTGGGTTTAATTTATAAAGGTGACTGAGTGACCACACTGAGAGGTCAGTGCCATTTGAAAGAAAAGTTTAATGTCACAATTCCCTTAGAAATTAGAGGCATGGCATGCCAGGGTAAATAGTTTAGGATTGTTAGCTCGAATAATTCCAGGAGGTTTGGGGTATAGGACTGTCACTAGGTATCCATCTGGCCCTGAGTTGATTTAGAACAGGGGAATATTGACTTGGTGTGTATGAGTTAGATAAAGGAGGTAGTTCAGAGTGTGGGCTCTGGATCGTAGGGGAGATATACTGGTAAACAATTTTGGCTCCATGATTAATGGATATCAAATAAATATGGAATCTAAGAAAACACAGAACACTTATTGACTGTTAAGAATAATTAGGATAGGAGAGTAAATACCAGACTTTGAGGAGAAAAATAAGTTTTCATAGGCTGTAGTGGAGATAGGAAATTTGAATGGAAAGAATAGTCCTATCCCAGGTTGATGATAAAGCTAAGATTTTTTTTTTTTTAAGGGCGGGGCCGCTGAGGAAGAACAGCTCCCACAGGCCCAGAGCAGGAACAGGCAGCCAGGGGAAGGAGGGCAGGTGGGCTGATGGGGCTCTCCCACTTGAGGGCACCAAGCAGAGCGGGAGTCTCTGCACGCAGATTCCAGGGCCCACCCCAGGTGGGAGCCCAGGACCATGTATTTTTAAGCCCTTGTCCCACCCCCGCTGATGGCGATGGAGGTGGCCTCTGGGCTTCTTACTTCGATAAACTGGTGTGTAGGGGGAGCAACGGGAAAGAGGGAATGAGAAGCGGCTCAAAAGAGCAGAGTGGCCTCTGTGTGTCCCCCAGCTCCCCTCCCCGCCACGCCCTGCAGACAGCCGATGCCCAAGGAACAGGACTTAGTGCCCCTCAGCCCACACCCAGCCTCCTCAGTGATAAAGCTAAGATTTTTAACCCTACTGTTTATCTCTATATAGAGGGAGATGTTACTGATGGGCATTATTATTGGAGTTATTTTAATCCTATCGTCTCTTGTCTTGTCCTCTCTCGTTTCTCTACTTCTTACTTGCTCTGTTTTAAGATTTAAGATTTGTTCGGGTCATTGTTAACAAGGCAACATAAATCCTAGCCACAGGATTTTCTTTCACTTTCCCTATTGCCAGTCAATCCTCTGCAGTGAGAAATGGTTTTCTCTGTAGTCACCATTTAGGTATTTGACTCAGTCTTCTTCCAGTCTTCATCTTTTTCAACTACTTTGAAGCAGCTCATATTATTGTCCAACCTGGAACTCTTTTTAAAAAGAGTGAAAGGGAGCATTAACCAGACTCAGTTTGGAATAAGAGGTATAATCCAAGATTATTTCTGGTGAACTGGAAGCACTTAACTCCTCTATGGATATCAGGAGTGGTCTCTGAACTCAAATTTTGAAAGGGTATTATACACATAGGAAAGAATTTTAAAATGTACATATCAAACTCAGTACTCATTGTTTTATTTATTTATCATTATTTTATTTTTTAATACTCACCTGAGGAGATTTTTCCATTGATTTTCAGAGAGAGTGGAAGAGAGAGGGAAAGACAGAGAGAAATACTGATGTGAGAGAAACACATCAATTGGTTGCCTCCTGCACATGCCTAGACCAGGGCCCAGGCCAGGGAGGAGCTGCAACTGAGGTACGTGCCCTTGACTGGAATTAAACCCCGGACCCTTTGGTCCCCAGGCCAACGCTCTATCCACTAAGCCAAACCAGCTAGGGCTATTTATCATTATTTTATTTATCCATTCATCTGTTCATGGATTCTGGGATTGTTTTCACTTTTTTTGTATGGACCTGTTTTCTTTTCTCTTGGTTATATAGCTAGGAGTGGAATTGCGGGATTATATGGTAACTCAGTTTAACCTTTTGAGGAAGCAGTACTAAAGTAATTGTACTATTTGCATTCTGTCAGTTTCTGGATTATATTGTTTGAACCCATGCTTTTGTAACTCAGTGAAATATCTCTGTATTCTTTGAGTTAGTTTAACTGCCTCTGGTGCCAGGGTAGTACAACCTTCCTATCCTTGACTTACAGGGGGACATAATTGCCCAAATTAAGGTGAACAGTATCTGAAATCTTAAATCTAATCATATTAAATAGCTGTATTCCCACCTGTTATATTTGTTTAAAATTATTTAGCAGAATTTTTGCCTTTTGTTAGCTTGAAATACTTTTTAAGTATTCATAATTTGTATGGCTAAGTATACTTAGCATGTTTCTACTGTAACTAGTTATTCTAATCAGAGAGCTCTAAAATCAGATTCTTTTGTAATAGGAAAGCAGGGAACATGCACAGTGTTAAACATTATTTTTCATTTCTGGACTAAATTGCTTCAATGTAAATGCTTTTACCTCAGAAGGAATTAAGAAAAGATGAAAATCTGGAGGGAAAATCAGAATGGTGTGAATAATATTTTTTAAATTACTAGTAGCATAATAAGAAATTGTCTTTATTTTTGGCATGTAGGTAATTTAAGTATAAAGACATTTCTGTTAGTCCTGGATGGTGTGGTACAGTGGTCAGAGTGTTGGCCTGCATTGCCTGCGCCCACCAACATATCTCAGGTTCGATTCCTGGTCGAGAGCAAGTACCTGGATTGTAGGTTAGATCCTGGCCCCGGTGGGGGGGCTATGCAGGAGGCAACCAGTCCATGTCTCTCTTACATCAATGCTTCTCTCTTTCTCTCTCTCTCTTTTTCTCTCTCCCCCTCTTCCTCCCATTCTCTCTAGAAATAATGTAAAAAATATGATGAGGATTAACCAAAAAGAAAAAGACATTTCTGTTAAAGAAATTTTGAGTAGATGATATCAAGAGTTCCATATTTACTGTTTAATGATATAATTATGCATCTGTTAAAATTTAAAACCAACGAGTTTGTATCCAAGTTTAGATATTTCATCCTGGTAAACATTTTATCTTGAGTAAAAATCTTGATAAAGATTTTTTACATTTTACCTTGAATCTGATAAACACTTTTTCATTGAAAAAAAAAATGGGGGGGAAAAGGAGACATCTGTAATACTTTCAACAATAAAGATAAATTTTAAAAATAGAAAAGAAAAATAAAGATCTCTATGTGAAAAACAAAGAAGTTCATCTCTAACTAAAAAATATAAGGGTTAATTAAATAAATCTAAGCAAGACAAGACAGTTACCCTGAAATGTATTAGTTAATGTTAATTAGTTAATGTTAGCCTGACATTTGAGTAGCCAGATTATTTCAAAAATAGATCATTACATTATTCCTTTGTTTATTTATTTTTGCAGGTTAAAAAAGCCAAGATGCAGGAATCGGGAGAGCAAACTTTAAGGTATATTAAAGTTAAATTTCTTTTTAATAATCTACCTACAATTTTTTCACATGCTGATGATGGACATGACTTAGGTTGACTGTCTTCTTTTTGTTTTTTAAAGTCAGTCTTTACATTTTGAAATTATTTGGTTTAAAATGAAAATACCCTCCAAAAGTTTGTTTTTGAAACTCATAAGTGCTGATTTATTTATTTTATTCATTAATTATTTATTCAACAATATATACCGAACTTATGTTATCTATCAGAGCGTATGATATATGGAGGAGACACATTGGTCAGTATTCTTTAGCTAGATGTACAGAATACGAAATAGGAAGAATAAGCAGAAGTAAGGGAAATGCAAGTTATTTGGCATTCATTACCAAATGGATATGGGATGCCTCAGTCATTAGCTTCCCTCCCGTTGTAGAAGAGAGGCAACTTCTATGTACCTCATGCTTTAGTTTTCCACAGTTCTTATCTCCCGTTGTTTGTCCACCAACCATATGAACCAGTAACTTCATCACCTCTAACATCTTAATTTCCAGAATCCTCCTCTTTTGCTACCACACATTACACTCCAGATCATTTATTTTACTGCCACACTAATCCATATGTCTTATTATATACATTCAATGAAATGATCTATCATATTTTCCCTATCAACCATTGGCCCTTATCTCAAAAAGGACTTCAGTATCTTTCTTATGCTGCTTAAATTAGAAGGTCTCTTATTTTAATCAGTCCTTTAGGAAGTCTTAACTTCCTCCCCCTTTCCTCTGTGTTGTACTTCCCTAGCAAAATCACAACCCTGGTTAAACTCATCTTTCTACTGATTCCATATTAATTTCCAATCACCTGAACATTGTGAGAGAAAAATATAAAATTATGCTTACTGGTCTCAATTTTCATTCATGATTACATCTCAAACAGGCACTTAAACACTCTTGGTGGTCCAACTATCTTTCCTGATGTGTTTTATTTCCCAGTCTATAAAATTATCTTTCTTCCCTTTTTTCCTTTCTCTCATCTAAGGAAAAATTGTTTGAACATTTAGAATATGCCAGGTATGGGGGCATGGAAGTTTATTGATATTATGCTTAAACTAGGGGCCCGGTGCACGAAATTCGTGCACTGGGGTTGGGGGGTGTCCCTCAGCCCAGCCTGCCCCCTCTCACATACTGGGAGCCCTCAGGGGATGTCCTAGTGATGGCTTAGGCCCACTCCCTGCTCCCCTTGGGGAGCGGGCCTAAGCCGCAGTCTGGCCTCCCTTTGTGGGAGATGACCGGGATGATTAGGGGAAGGCACCAGCCCCATCACCCCGCTGCTGCAGCCACTGCCAGTCACTGCAGCCAGCAAGGTTTTTTCATCAACACGGACTCCAGTCCCTTCACCATGAAAAACTGACAACTTTCTTTAGGCATTTTCAAGATGTGTCTTTCATATAATAATAATTTAATTCTTATATTTTTTTATCTTCACCTGAGGATATGTTTACATTGATTTTTAGAGAATGTGGAAGAGAAAGGGAAAGACAGAGAGAAACATCAAAGTGAGAGGAACACTTTGATTGGTTGCCTCCTGCATGAGCCCTGACCTGGGCCC